CAGCTCTCTAATGCTGCCCTCTTACTGCCCTGATGTGACAGGTCTGGTGAGACATATAGAGTCCATCTAAGGTGCGTCCTTGACAATGGGGGTGACAGGTGCACTCAGGACATCACCTGAAAAACCTCAAATACATCTCAGGACTTCAATTTCCATGACAACAAATAAGCTGCTAATAACTTCTGGTCAGGCATGGCAGAGTGTGGTAGTTTGAATGTAACTGGCCCACATAATCTCATAGGGAGTCACAGTATTAGGAGGTGTGGCTTTGTTAGAGTGGGTATGGCCTTGTTGGAGGAAGTGTGTCACTGTGGGGGTGGGCTTAGAGGTTTCCTATATTCAGAATACCGCCTAGTGTCTCAGTTGACTTCCTGTTGCCTGCAAGATGTAGGACTCTCAGCTATTTTTCCAGCACCACATCTGCCACCATGCTCCCCACCACAGTGACAATGGACTGAACACTGAAACTGTAAGTGAGCCACCCCAATTAATGTTTTCCTTATAAGAGTTGCTGTGTTCATGGTGTCTTTTCACAGCAATAGAAACCCTAGCTAAAACATGGAGCATGTACGCCATCCCAGAGCTCAGGAGGTTGAGGGAGGAGAATCCCAAATCTAGAAATAACTCGGGCTGTTCAGTGAGTACCAGACAAGGCAGGACTGCAGGGCAAGATTCTGTCTCAAAAATGAAATTAATTCACACATACCACACACACACACACACACACACACACACACACACACACACACACACCTACACACATATGGTGTGGGATATTTGTTCGCACCGACACTCCAGGACTTTACAACCTTTACAACTTGAATCAGAGGGTGTAACCAGCAACTGGCTGACTGGAGTTAGCCATAGATATGTTGGAGGACCAAGAGAGTCAGATAGAGAGGTACAGGAAGAGATGAGAAGGGACCTGGAGAGATTGTGTGGGCTTTTTCATCTGGGAAAGGAGGAGAGTAGGGCAACTGATCATTCCTCTGCTGTTCTTTGGATTTATCAGGTTTTTGTCTCAACTTCTGACTCCCAAGTTTTTATTAATACTAGAACAATTAAGGTAAATGAATTTCAGGCATACACACACACACACACACACACACACACACACACACACACACACCTATACTCGTACATACCTATAGCTGCCTGGGAGCCAGCCTTCAGCAGTGCAGAACTCAAAAGGAATCTACAGTGTTGGTGTGTAATAGACTTTTCTATCGGAGGGGGTTAGGGAAAAAGACAACCATACTCTTGATGGTTTCCTTTATTCTCTATTCTTCTGTATACTTTCCATGTTCTTTCGTTGTCGGTTGAAGAAAAAAGGCACTCCAAGGTGAAATTTTAAGGCCCAAGTCTAGTTTCTTCTGATGAACTGAACTGGACCCCAAACAGCCATACAAAGGTGTATTCACTGATTGCTACATAAAGTATTTCTGCATACCAACGTTCTTAATCTTAACTTAAATGTCTTACTGAAGGGAGTATCACATGCCTCTATGACTCTAGACCTTGTAATAGTAATGACACTAGACCTTGTAATAGTAATGACACTATTACTAGTGTAGTAGTAATACACACTAATACAAGAGCCTCAGGTGTGCCTTGTAGGGCCCATATTATACAGGCCCATATTTCTATAATGTATGTGGCCAGAATTTCAGGGCACAATTTACACCTGCCACTCAAAAGGTGGTCACCTAGCCTTTCCAGACAAACTGCCACCATCCTAAACAAAGGGTCAGGATATGCTAATGTCGCTCTGCTCCTTCTTTGTAATTTGGGAGCTCGCCTGGGAAAGAGGTGTCAATTCAGTCTATGTGACAGAGTAGCCATAGTTGCAGACATGACCTAAGACCCGTGACCCAGGAAACAGAATGCTAATGAACTTCCCCCTCAGTTTACCTTTTGATATAAAAGCCATTTGGACAATAAACACTTCAGATATTGCTGTGTGAACTGTGCCTCAATTATTCCCACACCTCCACACTGGTCCGAGAGATAATTTATGTTGGGGCTGGATCTCAACAGTGCCTGACATGTCTTGTGACCAAGGTCATACAATGGCTGCAATGCTCCTTCAGCAAAGCAATCATTGTTTTCTACAAGGAGTCTTCAAAGTCAAGATACTGCCAAAAAACAGCTGTTCATTTTAATATGTACCCCATACAGTGATTCTGCTAAATTCCTACAGCATACAGGTAAAATAAACATATTGTTCATCTCCCTTACATGCTCAAACGCGAAGTCACTCCAATAATCCGTATTCATTTATATCTAAGTAACTTGTTGCAGATTAACAGAACATGAGCAAGCAGAAAGTATTTTTCTCACAACCAACTCTTTTGTTGGCAGGCTGCATGTTAAGGTTACAAAGAAAGAATCGGTCTTTTACTATTTATCTTGAAAGTTAATTTTATAAGAAATCTTAAAGGAATCAAAAACTCAGCTTTTATACATAAAAAACAATCAGCTATACTTAGATCTTTAGGATGTATACCCATTCATTAATATATTTTAATCTCAGGAGATTGAAGGCGGGGATAGGAACAAGGAATTAATCATCACCTTTGATCATTAATCAACCCTAGCAAGAAAATATGTCAGCCAGTAACAGTTGGTCTGCCTTTTTTTTTTTAATTTTTACCTCAGCTATGTGTTGTAGGAGGCCGCTTGTTTGTTCCTGGTTGCCCAGACCCAAAATAACCTGTATTAATTAAATCAGTGCTTGGCCTATTAGCTCTGGCTTCTTTTTTTGTTGTTGTTGTTGCTAATAAGGTTATATTCAACAAACAGACTTTCCAAGGAGAAACAAAAGTACAGATTATGTCAGACCTGACCAACGCTAGTGCTGAAGGTAATCAGCCAAATTGAAACAAAGAAATGTTAGAGAATAAGAAATATACACTGGAATTGTCAGAGCCACAGTTATGAGTAACTACATATTCGAGTACTACTCGTATATTAATCACACGCAAACCATTAGTGTCAAGAAAAATCAAGACTACTAGAGAAAATAATTAATAAATAAAATCAAGACAGGAAATTTAGGAAAATCCATAATGAGATATCAGATAGTTTAAATGTTGCACACTTGGTAACACAAACCAATATTTTTGTTCTTAAGAGACTAAAGTAGAGCGATTCTGGGTTCAAAATCAGACTTTTTTTTTTATCAACACATTGATGCAAAATAAAACTATATATATATAGTACATATAATAACAACATAATTTTCAAAGTATGAAAAATGGAGTAAAATCTGAGCATTCTTTTTCAAAAATGAATTATNTTTGTTTTTTTTCGAGACAGGGTTTCTCTGTGGCTTTGGAGCCTGTCCTGGAACTAGCTCTTGTAGACCAGGCTGGTCTCGAACTCACAGAGATCCGCCTGCCTCTGCCTCCCGAGTGCTGGGATTAAAGGCGTGCGCCACCATCGCCCGGCATGAATTATCTTTTGAAGTACTAAAAATTGAAAAACAGATCCATGTAATTTGTATTCATCTACAATGTAGCTCTGGCTTCTTATTGGCTAGCTCTTACATCCTAAACTAGCTCATCTCCATTAATCTGTGTATTGCCACATGGCTGTGGCTCACTGGCTGAAGTTCCATCTCCAGTGTCTGTCTCCAGTGGGGCTACATGGTGTCTCTCTGACTCTGCCTTCTTTCTCTCTATATATCTCTTTCAGCCTGGCTATATTATGTTAAGCCATTGACCGAAAGCAGCTTCTTTATTCATTAACCAATAAAAGCAACACATGTATAGAAGGACGTTCCACACCAGCTATGTGTCCTTGTGAACTTTAAATTGTTTTCTGGGGTTTTTCATCTTAAGGCTATGATCAAAACATCTGATCTAACCTGAAGTTATTTTAAAGTTTTGCTTCAGCTAATGGTACACACCAAACCTGTGACTACATCTTTCAGCATTAAGATTAAAGGAATTTGAGCCAGCCTGGCTCCTGGGACTCAACTGTTTTTCTTAATCATTAACTTGAGCTATAGTCTATGCAGCTCCTTAGATGAAACTCAAAGTCCCTGGCTATGTAGCATTTCCTTGTATTTATTTTTATTCATCAAAAATATTTAAAAAATTTAAGCTAACATTATTATCAATTAGACAGTATAGCTTAGGAAGTACTCATCTTTGTAATAGTCCACAGATAAAAATGCCAAGTAGAGTGGGATATTTACATGAGATAAACACACTACATTACAGGCAGTGGTGATCTCCCCACACCTATTCACACCATACCAGATACCAGAGAAAGATAGCAGCAACAAACATGCAAAGGCAAAGCAGAAGCAAGGTATTCCAGGGTCTGTGGTCTCGGGGTCTTGCCTAACCAGTTTCCTCCTGGTGGGCTAAAACCTTGAACTTCAATTGCCACCTGCTGCTCCTCAAATATGAGCACCAGCACACATACTTACACACATGCACACACACACCTGCACGCACACACACATGTGATGTAGGAGGGTGATCTGTCTATGTGTTACTTTCATTGGTCAATAAAGAAATTGCCTTGGCCTTTTGATAGGCCAGCCCTTAGGTGGGTGGAATAGACAGAACAGAATTCTGGGAGGAAGAAAGAAGAGTCAGGCAGATGCCATGAAGCTCCGGCCCGAAATGGACATGGGCTAGAATCTTCCCGGTAAGCCACGACCCCATGGTGATACACAGATTACTAGATATGGGTTAAAGCAAGATGTGAGAGTTAGCCAGTAAGAGGCTAGAGCTAATGGGCCAGGCAGTGTTTAAATGAATACAATTTGTGTGTTGTTATTTCAGGTGTAAAGCTAGCCATGCGGGAGCCATGGTGGGACGAAAAGTAGGCCTGCTCGCTCCTATCACTACACACATGCCTCTCCATTCCCTAGGCTGTCTCTTCATTAGTGCAATGGCTTCCTTTGCTTGCTAAGGCTTTTCAATTCTGATGAAGTACAGAAGCTTGCTGACGGTTCCCTGCTTGTTTTCATTTTCCCTTCTAAGATGGATTCCGGTCTCCTTCTATGCCTGTGTGACACCACTCAGTAGATCCTGGTAAGTGTCCATTGGAGTCAGAGGAAAGGGGTGTGAGCCGCAAATAGCAGGGAGATGTGTGTCACTTCCACACAGAGACAGAATTTGTGCAGGGGCCATCCACTAAGAATAAACCAGCCACCCAAAACTCATCCTCTAAGCATGCTCCAGCCATCCAAAACCCGTCCTCGAAGCATGCGCCAGCCAACCAAAAGCCTGCCAGTGGGACGAAGGTATGTGGCGTCTCTTGCAGGTACTCTCTGCTTCCAGAACAGTTGCTAGAGCCAGGTGCCAGGCTCACTGTCTCAGCGCTGTACCTCACAGTTCTCTAACAATCCCCATGTCTCAGCTCTGAAAGAAGACGCTCTCATTGTCTCACAGCTGATCAGCCACCATCTAAGCCTGACCTCTACTGAGTGGAGGATGTGGGGGAAATGGGACACAAGGCAAGATCTTCAGTCACAGAGTCTCCCAGGCACTGTGCTCCTTGCTCTCAGAGTCCTCCAAGGAGAGCCTGGAGCTGCGGCAAATCGGTACCAGGGAAAACCTTTAGCTAAGTCAGGGTAGCTTCACCTCCTCAGGGCAGTGAGGTGTGTGGTCCTAGCCAGCAGTGTCAGCTGGCTGTGGGCTGTGGGTGCCGTGGACAGGTGATAGCAGAGATCCGGGCCTGCGGGTCCTCTCACCTGCCCCTCCCTCTGAAGCCTGCGCAGCCCAGGGTAGCCAGTGGACGGTGTGTCTGCTCTCTCTGTTCCTGCCATTCCTGGCAGCCTCGTGCCTCAGGCTCAGCAGGAGTCTCCGCCTCTTCTGACTGCTCCTTATTTCCACCTCTCCATATACAGCATTCCACATCAAAATGAGGAATGGAACAGGAATCTCCTGATCTGCCCATGAGAGAGGTGAGTTGTCACATGTTTTCTCTATATAGGCCTTTTCCGATGGCCCATTGTGGAGGCAGATGTTTACCTTGGCCAATGTCTCTGCTATTGCTTGGGTGAATTCTTTTATTTATTCTTTCACACATTCGCTTACCCATTCGTTTTGAGCCTGCGTCTTGCCAGGTACCCCAGAGTGGCCTTAAACTCAGCATCTTTCTGCTTCTGCCTCCTAAGGGCTGAGATAACAGGTCTGCATCACTGTGCCCAGGCCAGAAAGCTGGGATTTTCCTGGATCTTAGCATTTGTTTGTGGGCCACTTAAGTATTCTCCGCGCATTTCTAGATCACACCCCACGAGTTTGAATGCTAGCAAAAGAAGGCCTGACATTTTCTTCCATCCATAATTTCACCCCACTTCCACTGAATGCCAGAACATTGTGGGTTGGGAGATTATTGGTTCAGAGTATGGAGACATGTTGTCATCCGATGTCATGTATGGCAATCAAATTCATAGCAGGGCCTTCCTTCCCACCTGGACCCCCTCACAGGACAGTGAGGATTTACACTCAGCACATCTGCAGCCATCTTCTTCTGACCAAACCAGGGCCGAATGTCAGGGTGAATTGAGGAAGGGTCACCCTTTTCTAATTCACCGGCTGTCTTCCCCTCCAGGCTGCCATTCTGTTAAGAGTCAGACCCTTCCACCACTTCAACCTCTTCTCCTTGCCCACTCCCTGCCACTTTCCCCATCCCAACAGCAGCCAAACAAGATGGGCTGAGAAATACTCTGTGTGCTGAGGTAGGGGTCAGGATGCACAGAACACAGCTTGTCTTTTCCTTGTCTCTGCTGCGATCGGGCCACAAACCTCCCTAAAGGACAGAAGCCCATTCAATTCAGAGATGTCCCAAGACTTCACTATGCAGATCTGCTGTCCAGGAGACCTCAGTGGCTTCTGCAGCAGTGCCTCCCATCAGTGCCAAACCTATACAAAAGCGAGACTCTTCCGTTGTTGTTCCTATTTGATGATGTCAGAGCGATTAATAACCACAGTCTTTTCTTCCACCTCAGCACTAACCAACAAGTGACAGAGGTTGCCACCTTCCGCAACTCAGGTGCCTACTAAATGCCTCTCTGCCCACCTAACATTGATGTGGAGTCCCACGACAGTCAAGTTCATTGCAGCTACCAATCTCTGGGGATCCAATATTAGACAGTCAGGCTCCATGCCAGCTGTCAGCCGTATCCTGCCCCCAGTTTGCAGGATTATGCAGTCTTCCTCCCATAGCTGTATCTCCCAGCTCTCCTTTGGCCCAGAATGTGCCTTGGAGAGACATAGAGGGCCGAACCCTGTCTGTGGAGGCTGTCATGACTTGCTCAAATGGAACCCCCCTCACTTGCGAGAAGAGGACGTCAATTATGGAGCAATTGTTCAGTCCCAACTCTCATCCCAAACACAGCAGTGCAGGGCAGCAGAGAGGAGCCATCTTGCATTAGGTCTTGGCCTATCATCTGATCCAACACATCACCCAAATCCTACTGTCTTCCGGGAGAGAGGTAGACAATGGATTTCATAATCAAGTCATCCAAAATCATTCGGCTGATACGGAATAGAACCAGAGGGCTGGAGAGATGGCTCCGAGGTTAAGAGCACATGAGCTACCATTGATGAAGATAATAATGATTCATGACTACCAGGGCAGCCCTCCACATGAGTAAGGAAGATGACAAAGACTAGTGTGGTGTTTTAGGGAAAAAAATCAAAGAAATTGAGGATTTGGGGGAGGGTTGTTTTGTGTGCTAACACATTTGGGGCCACTTGGGGAAACAACTTTATTTGTTCTCTATTCAACATCAGGTAACCATTTCATGATTTCTTTTCTCACTTTCAGGACCTGTCTTCAAGAGAATCAGCAGAAGACTTTAAATAAATAACTCTTAACCCCATATTTAACTGTACAAAATTAATAAAGAGAGCTTTATGTTGAAACATTTCTTCTTGATGTCTTCCCATCAATGATGCTGGTTTTAAGCGTGTGTGTGTGTGTGTGTGTGTGTGTGTGTGTGTGTGTATGTAGGTTCCCTAGAGATCAGATGTTAGCAGATCCCCTGACTGGAATTTTAGACAGCTGTGAGCTGCCCAATCTGGGTGCTAGGGGTTCAGACTATGGTACTCTGGAAAAGCAGCAAGCATCTGTGACCACTGAACCATCTATTAAGCTTATGAGAAGGCTGAGTGGTAGATGCCCGATAAAAGAGAAGTGACTCTGATGGGAGTTCCCTCCATGTTACAGGCAGAGCAGAAATCAGAAAAGGGAAGGAGTTGTCTGAATGCTAATTTGTACCAGGAAGCTAGGGGCTTATAAGGGTTGATTTGAATTGCATCTCTCTGAAAGTCTCCCCTGAAGTCCTGACTCCTCACTCACACCCCGATAACTTAGAAACAAGATTACTGCAGATACAAATGCCTAAAATGAGGTCACAATGAAGTGGGGTGCTGTGGGATAGTGCTCTTGTACACTGTAAAGATCTGTCACTCATATTGGTTTAATAAGACACCGAATGGCCAGTAGCCATGAAGGAAGAGTAGGCAGGATGATCAGATAAGGAGAACTCTGGGAAGAGGAAAGGCAGAGGCACAGTCACAAGCAAGATACAGAGGAAGCAAGATGAGAATGCCACACTGAGAAAAGTTACCAAGCCATATGCCTAAACATAGATAAGAATTATGGGTTAAGTTAGTAATAACCCTGAACAATAGGTCAAAGAGTTCATAATTAATATAAACCTCTGCATGTTTACTTGGGACTGAACAGCTGCTGGGCCATAAGGGACAGAAACTTCTGTCTACAGTGGAGAGGGTGTGCCATAAGCAAGATAATAAAAACTCAGAGACAAAAATTGGGGTTCATCCTGAAGATCAGAAAAGCAAAGCAGTCAGCCACTGGCTCTTACCTTGACCTCAGTCTGAAATGGTGTTTCTGCCTCCAGGAATCTCAGAATGAGACTGAACCTGAGAGCTGTTTCCTCCCATTTTATAATTCTCTCTATGGCTGAGATTAAAGGCATGCACCACTGTGATTAAAGGTGTGTGTTCCCACTGCCTGGTCTGTAAGGCTGTTTTACTCTCTGATCTTCAGGTAAGTTTTATTTATTAAAATACAAAATGAAATGCCACTACAGGTGCCCTAATTCAGAATGAGTGTTATCATTCTCTAAAGGGGAAATTTGGAAACAGAGGCATACCCAGCTAGTATGCAAGTGATGACTGAAGTCACCCAACTCAGTGAGAAGCAGTTGCTGGAGGCCAGGAGAGCAACCTGGAACAGGTACCTCCCTCAGAGGGACCTGGGCCCTGCTCACACTGCATTGCATGCTTCTAGCCTGCAGAACTGTGGACACATTGAGGTCTATTGCTTAAGAATGTAGTGTGGAAGAATGGCAGCTACAACAAACGAACCCAGCTCTCAGACACCATAGCGGCCAAAATGTGCCATTTCTGCCTGCACAGTGTCTTTCAGTACTGGAAGTGGAGCAGGCCCAGAGTAACCCGATAAAGGACTGCCCTCTTCACGTTAGAAGTGACACTGTCACTGGTGCCTTGCATTATTTCACACACACCGTGTAGCACATGTTTGCCCCAACTCTCAACAAAATCTCATCCTTCATGGAGTGGTCTTCTCTCAACCCCCAGTATTCAATTCTCCTTTCACAGCGCACAGACATGTCCAAATGGATGACCAAGTTTTAAGAAAGTTTATTTATGGACACTGAAATGTGAATTTATATATTTCACATGCCATAACATATTGCTTATTTTGATATTTCCTTTAAAAACAGAGGCTCAACTACATAACCAAGGCTAGCCCTGAACTTCTTGTTGATGTGGGACTCTCCTCTGTATGCTGTGATTACCATTGGTTAATAAAGAAACTGCTTGGGCCTATTGCAGAGCTACAGGGGAACAGAGCCAGGCAGGGAAAACTTAACTGAATGCTGGGAAAAAGAGTAAAAAGAGTCAGAGAGAAGTCGCGCAGCCCTGCTGGAGCCAGGCAGAACTTCAGCTGGTAAGCCACAGTCACGTAGCAATACACAGATTAATAGAAATGGGTTAAATTAATATGTAAGAGTCAGTCAATAAGTTAGAGCTAATGAGTCAAGCAGTGATTTAATTAATACAGTTTCTGTGGTGTTGTTTCAGTTCTGGGTGACTGGGATGAACAAACAGCCTCCTTCAACATCTTGTCTTTCTGATACTACACTCTGAGTCTGCCGAACATTTACACATATCAAAACCATTCTTAGCTGACCAACTGCAGAAACAAGGGGCAAGGTGATTCCGACCTTACAAGGGCAGTCTCAGCTTTGGCAGCCTCTCCACGTTTATTTAGTTTGTGCTATACATTCTAATCAATATGCTCAGCTTCTGCTTCCCCTCAGTTTTACATACCCCTTCCTCCCTGTTTGATAGCTGCAAGTGTCCTCTCCATATGCCTCCGTTTCACCTGCAACAGTCCTTGGAGACGCTTTTTCTCCTGCCTTACAAATGGGTTTCTTCTTGGGTTTACTCTCATTCCCAGAGCTGGAATGGAGTTTTGGGGGACAGGGAGATTCATTATTTGTGGGTCTTCAGAAGACAGGTAAAAATAGTGTCTGCATTTTTGTAAGAACTTGGAGCTTACAGAAAATAAAGATAGTATACCAGTCACAAATTCCAGATTACTCAAGAGCTAAATAACCAAATAAGAAATATTAGTAGTAGATCTGACAGCCAGGCATGATCCTGTCTGCTTTCAGAGGCTCAGTTCAAGGTCATCCTCAGCTACACAGGAAGTTGAAGGCCAGCCTAGGTTACACGAGACCCTGTCACAAAAGAAAACAATGAAACTAAGAAAGAAAAAGATTAGAAATATGTAAAATAGTTAATCATTTCAAATATAGAAAACTTTTTATATAAAACACAAAGATCATAAGAACACATTTAGTGGATCAGACTTTGTAAAAATTTTGAATTTGTATATGAAAAAAGAAAGTAAATATAATTTCCACACAAAAGAACACTGTGGGAGAACACAATGTGGCTTGTGTAATGAAAGCTACAAGAATCTAAAACTCACCCAATATCAATAATGAAAAAAAAAATCCAAGTCGGAACTGGAGAGATGGCTCAGAGGTTAAGAGCACTGGCTGTTCATCCAGAGGTTGTGAATTCAATTACCAGCAACCGCAGGTGGCTCACAATCATCTGTAATGAGATCAGGTGCCCTCTTCTGGCCTGCAGGCAGAACACTGTAAATCTATTTAAGCTAAAAAAAAAATCCAAGTCATTGCAAAGATAGATCAAGAACCTTAAAAAGACAACTCACAATATGTGCATATTTTCACTGAACGTATAAGAAGAAGGGGATGTAAGAAGAAGTGTTCAAATACAAAGGAGCTGGCCAAAGTAACAGTGGTTACACCCAAGGCTGTAAAGATGTGACGAAAGGCTCCAGCTTCAGTGGTGGACGTACATAAACTAGTGAAGTCCATGAAGGACACCACTAGACCTAGACAACATCCCTAGCGCCTAGCAACACCACCGGGTATCTCCTGAAGGAGCACTATTTATGTGTGCAGAAAGCTTACAGGGTGTGGCCAACATAGCCTGGGCATGGTACCTCTGTAATGCCAGCTCTTGGCAGGCAGAGGCAGGAGGATCCGCCTACCCTGTCTTAATAAGCAAACAGGGCTTGGGGATGCAGCTCAGAGGCAGTGTCGATGGTTAGCAGACTCTAGGGTTGGGTGTGTCCAGCTTCTTGGTCCTCTCATCCACCGAGTTAAAGTAAATCTCACAGACTTTATTCAGAGCTAAGGGATAATATAGGCTATAGAGAGGTACATCATCAAGATTAATTGTGGGCCACGTGAGTACTCGAAGGTCCCAGGCTACAGCCTATCTCACTGTACTGGGTTTACAAGATGGAGGATTGGCTACTAAGGGCCATAGTTTGAACACTTTTCTATTTTTATTGATAGATTAAGTCATACATTCCTTTTTTCAATGCCCGTGACCTTTCCCACAATGTATTTAATTTTTCTCATATACATGACCAATTATATATGCATAAGTATGAGATAGTTATCACAAAATTCCCTCCAAAATTCACAGTTTGCCTTTCTGTGCCTATACCCAAAACGAGTTCAGGCTGGGTCCACCCTTTCACCATTCCTACATGGATATATTGAGAATGTACTTGAATAAAAGACATCTAAATTTTACCCTTAAGATTAGAGAAATTTACTTTATTGTTAATGTGAGGTATAGTCTGACGCAGATGTCCTGCGGGAGTCCTGAGGTTGTGAGGTGCATTTTTCATCGGGCACACAAGTAAAGGAAGTAGGCTTCCGTGGGCATCCTTCCAAAAACAGGGTGTATGCATACCCCAAACTTGTGGAGTCCTGGTTGCCAAGTTACTCTCTGTGTTTGTCAGCCTCAAGAGAATACTTGTCTGACATGCACAGAGAAAGAAAATAATAACATAAAAGTGGAGACATATTTTTTTCAGTTAAAAGAGGAAGAACCAGGTGATGATGGAACATTCCATTAAATCCCAGGACTTGGGAGGCAGAGGCCAGCAGAACTCTGTGAGTTCAAGAGCAGCCTTGTCTGCAAAGTGAGTTTCAGGACAGCTAGGGCTGCACAGAGAAACCTGTAAACAGAGACTGCAAGTTAGTTTCCCGACCACCCAGACACAAATAATCTTACAGAATCTATATTAATTACAACACTGTTTGGCCAATGGCTCAAGCATATTCCTAGCTAGCTCTTATATCTTAAATTAACTCATTTCTCTTAATCTATGTATCACCATGAAGTTGAGGCCTACTGGTAAGGTTCCAGCATCTTTCTCCTTTGGCAGCTACATGGTGTCTCCCTGACTCTGCTTTCTTTCTCCCCTACATTCAGTTTTGTTTTCCCTGCCTAGCTCTGTTCTACCCTGCCATAGGCCAAAGCAGCTTGTGTGTTCATGTATGTGAGTGTGGGCACAAGAACACACTTATACATACACAACAATGATTTTGACTTGGGAGGCAGAGGCAAGTGGATCTTTGTCAGTTTGAGAATAGCCTGGTCTACATCTAGAGTGCTAAGCTAGTCAGAGATACATAGAGATCTCTTTATGTCTCTTAGTCATCTTCATTGTTTTAAAGATTGGATAAGCTATAGTGCAGACATACTCTTTGAAATAGCAGTCTATAGATTAATGAGGTAAAACTAAATGTACTGGCATGGAAATGTTTCTAAGATAATATACATTATTGGAAAAGCAAGTGTCAAAAATACATGCATCTATGCACACACAAGTGTATATTTCTGGGTTTTGTGTCCTATTGCTGTGATTAAACACCCAACAGTGGCCAGGACTGACCAGCTCAGCTACAATCTAGGCCCACAACCCGGCCTTGGAGTGGCCGACTCTAGCATCTACCCCATCCAGTGTGGGAGTCCACAGAAGTGGTCAGTTCCACCTTGACCAAAGGTCGGAGTATTCAAGCCTATTTCTGCTCCTTCAAGGATATGACAGGGGGTTCGACCCAGGGAATAGCTGCCCACAGGATGCTTGGTCTAAGGTGTGGTTGTTGCATGTCCTGCCTAAATAACAGAATACTTAACTGGGGATATAGCTGCTTGATGCTTCAGGTATTAAAGCAGGAAATCAGTCTGTTTGTCCTTTGTATCATGTTGAAGCAGTCTTTTACCCTCCCCCCCGCCCCGCCCACCTCCTTTTGGATTGAGGTATATAAGCACATGGCGAATAAACACTGTCGAATTCAGGATTCACTGGATTCCCCTCCCCGTTCTATTCTGCATCTCTGTTCTTTTCCTTTTGTATCTCTGTTCCTCCTGCCCATTATTTCTAATCCTCACACTCCTACCCTGGAACGTGCAAACCCCATTGAGGCTGGATCCCAACAGATGTCACCCCAACGTGGGACCCTAACAATCCAGGACCTGCAAGAGCTCCTGAAGGGACTTGTCCTGCGGAAAGATACCTGGACGATCTCCTTGACTCAGGCAGCCTCAGGATATCCCAGAGGAGTTTCGGTGAGGATCCAGTGAGGATGGTGGACCAGAAACCAGAGGCCTTGAACCAGACTCATTGCAATGAACATTTGCTAGAAGAGACGATTGGACCAAAGGGTGTACTAGGTGACACACTGCTCCCAGTGCCACTAGACAAATGAAGTGGTGCTGGAGACGCAGGAAAGATGGAGGAACAAAGAGGTTTTTGTTTTGCTTTGTTTTTGTTTGTTTGCTTGTTTTGCTTTTTAAAATTTTTTACTTTGGAGAAGGTGCTGCGGGGACTGGTAAGTGAGCAGAATTAGGATGCATGCTGTCAAATTTCCAAAGAACCAATCAAGAAATCATGTCAAATTAAAAGTGAATAAAAGAAGAATTGGCAAAGATGGCGTTTTCTGCACTGTGTCCTCCAATCCCTCTTAACCTGATTCCAAGTGCACAGTCATCAAGCTGTTCTTAAAATTTTCTTAATTTTTAAAATCATTTTTTGCCCGTTCTCCTGGTTTGCATTGTTAAATAGAGTTTAAGCAGTGACCGCCCAAAGTGTTTATAAAATGTTGGAATATGTTAGAATCACTTGATAGTTGTACTTTCCCCCAACACACACAATCTACTGATATGAAAATATAATTGGGGTCTCATTTCCAAGTGTGCTCAGCTCCTTTCCGCCCCTCTTGAGGGAGTAATGTGCTCATTTCTGACTATCAGGCCATTTCCCCAATCCATCCCCAGGGAAACCCTACAGCAAGGTACCAGTGTGACCGTCTGGAATGGCCCTCATGGCTATGGCTGAGAGATGCCTTGGTAGAGGTTAGCAAAGAAACCAAAAGAGATGGACAAGCAAGGACATCAGGTGGAAACAGCAGATGAGATGTGGAAGGCAGACCGCAGGCTGGTGTCTTGCCGACCAGTTACAGCCAGGCAGGCTTGGGAGGTGAGGAAGACTGTGGCTTAGAAGTCTCTATTGTGAACGTGGCTAACCCAAAGCAAGGTGTTAATCTTGATCTGGTTCTGGATACAGCATTGGGGAAGATAAAAGAAAAAGTGGAGTCGTTTGCCAGAGTCGTTAGTGTGCCCCTTGCTTCAGAAGTCAGCAAAGTTGCTGGACTGACAGACAGTGCATCAGAGACTAAAATAGCACAATCGCTGTAGCTCAGAAGGTAGAGTTCTTGTCTAGCAAACACAAATGGGGTGCGCTGGGGCACACCTATGGTGCACACCCTGGGGAGTCAGAAGTTCAAGACCACCCTTGGCTACACAGAAGAGTTCGAAGCAGTTTGGGACACATGAGACCCTGACTTAGCTCCTAGTACAAACATGTCCTAAAAAAATATGATGTCGCATATGCTCTTTTCTATAGCTTGGTACAGGAGAATTTAGCTTCTTGTTCTGTATTCTGAAATAAATAAAGGTGGTTATATGTAGTACCACTAGATGGCAGCACTTGGCCAGCAATGCTTTGCAACAGGTGTTTTTCAGACAGCCTGGGAATTGCTTTTGATAATTTGGATTGGAGAAGATAGAATTCATGTAGCTGTTCCAAAAATAGTTCCTGAGATGAAACAAAAAGTACTTCAAAGCCTACTAGAAATTTTGTTGGTTGTGATATCCCCAAACACCTGCAGACCTGAGTTCAGATCCCCAGCATCCCATAAAAGCTGAACATAGCAGCCTATTCCCGTAACCTTAGTGCCGGAGGGGCAGACTGAGGATGGTCCCAGGAGCTCACAGCCAGACAGTCTGTCCAAAACTGGGAGCTTCAGATTCAATGAAAGAGACCCTGTCTCAAAAGAAGTAAGGTGGAGAGCAATGGAGGAAGACACTTGTCATCAGCCTCTGGCCTACACACACACATACTCACGCATAAACACATACACACACACATGCACACAACACAGACCCACATGCACACAGCACGCACACAACACACTCACGCACACACACGTACACACACATGCACACAACACAGAACCACACGCACACACACGCGCATGCACACACACATAGACACACACACAGACACATATGCGCGCACACACACATACACACAGACATAGGCATGCACATATCTGCGCACAGACATGCATAAACACAAATTAAAGATAAATACATATTGAACTGTAAAAGTATTTTCAGTGGAATGGGAAGCCCTAGAGAAATCATGAAAGTGCATGATTCTGAGGAGGAGGGAAGCCCCGCCGGTGGTTGTTTTGTAAAGCGAGTCTCTCGGCAGCAGCAGCACAAGAAGTATTTGCTGCATGCCGCACAGAAGGGCAAGGAGGAGACGCTAAATGTGGCAGTCTCTACCTGCAGATGCTTGCATGCAAGGAAGCAGAGGAGAAAACAGAGCTGAGTCTCTGGATCTCTCTCTCTCTCTTCCTCTCTCTCTCTCTCTCTCTCTCTCTCTCTCTCTCTCTCTCTCTCTCTCTCTTCGAAGCTGGAAAGATGATACAGGATGAAGAAAGGATGAGCAGGGGATGGAAGCAAATGCCCGGGCAAAGGAGAATGGCACAGAGACATGCCCTGCTGACCTCACGGCGGAGAGAATGCACAGAGCCCTCCCCCATCCTCAGCGTCCTATAGCAATGTTTCTAGTTTCTAGGTTCATGTGCATTAGAGGAGCCCTGGAAGGGGCAGGACCAGAGACCATGAGCCATCTCTAATGCCAGCCCTTCCAGCCCCCAATCCTGTGAACAGAGGCTCCCACACGTGGCAGGTGAAGTGAGACACATCAGGTCCACCTCTGGAGCATCGCTGGCAAACATGCCAGGTGTGCCTAGGCCAGATGTGTCTTGGGATCCTAATTTCCATGCTAATAAACTAGCTGGTGATAGCAACTAGACAGACATTATGGTGCATTAGGGAGGCTGAGGCAGGAGGACCACCCGATTGAGGATACTCAAGGCTTATTGGATTCAGGTGGAGGAAAAGGCTGAGAACATGGTAGAAGACTTAGAGAAGTCCAGTCTGAAAGTTCTCGTACAATTCAGTTGTTCCTGGAACCTTCAGAGTAGTCTTGCAGACTCATAGTGATGGTCTCTTACAAAAAGTACTGTCAAAGGATATGTTCTTACCAGAACATGTCCTGAATCTAGGCAGCAGTTTCAGGATCCCAAGTGGGATGCTAGGTGTTGGGCAGGTGGCAGAGGTTTTGAAGGAGCTCTGAGTTTAATTGGGAAGGCAGGAAACAGAGAGAACCCATCAAAGTGAAATTCCAGTCCCACTGACCAGGAGACGACCTGGGATGATGTGGGCACAGAGAGGAGGGTGTCAAGAGGGACATTCAAGTGGGAGTAAAGAGTCTATTAGAAAAATGACCACTGCCACAGATAGACAGAGAGAGGCAGCAGCTTGACAGAGGGGTTCAGGCCCCAGTCCCAGGGCAGACACACAGCAGGGACACAGGGCAGAAGTGGGGTTTCTTTGTACACCTTACTGGGGATGGGGTAGTTTCATAGGGTAAGGGAAAGGAACGAGGAATGGGATGTATAGCCACCAATGCCCCCTTGGATAGAACTCACTTTTCAGAGGAGAGATCCTGGCACCGGGAAGTCTGTTTGCTCGGGACTCACGGTGTCCCAGAAGGTGCCTGTGATTGGAAAAGTATCAGGGCTGAGCAGCAGCTGGATGGTGACACTGTCGTCTTCTACATGTGACCTGTTTGATGGTAAAGGCAGGCGAGACATCATGAAGGCCTGCAGAGGCAGTGGTCCCCAGGCCTAATCTGGAAGGATCAATTAGGGTTCACCATGTGGCCAAAGGGAAATTCAGTAGGGTTTGCAAAAGGAATGCAAAATAGGGAGGTATGGAGGCCACAGAGAGTGATGTGGAGGCTCAGGGCATGGTGGAGGGAGACTGGAAAAGCAAACGTGGGTGAGGATGTGGCGGAGCTGAGGACCACTCTGTTTCATGCAGAAGGCCTCCTGCTCTGAGTCAAGTGGAGCAGATGCGCAGGTACCACCATCCTGGCCTCCGCCTGTTGCCTATGCCCTTCGTCTCTGTGGTCTCCAGCGAAGTGACAGCAGAGATCTAGAGGAATAAGGAGAGCTGGACAGGCTGGGGAGAGGACCACTTCAGCATCCTGATGCACCCTCCCTCGCAGGCTTTCAATTTCGTGAATCATTATCTTCCAAAGGATTCAAGTAGTAAAGATGTAAAAATAAACATAACAGCCAGGAATATGGATGATCATGTTACCCTATAAACAGCACAGAGCAGACAGAGCCTCAGAGCAGGAGGGAAGCCAGTAATGATGTGCTGTGTAGCCCAGCTCCTGGGTAAGGTTAGGGTTTTCAGCCTGGGGACCACACACACACACACATGCACGCGCGCGCGCACACACACACACAGATGCACACGCACACACACAGCCGTTTCCTCCACGCTGGAGCAGTGATGAACTGTGGCCAGGAGCTCTGGGCTGGGTTGTGTGTCTGCCCTGTGTCTGCCCAGTGGCTCTGTGACCATTGGCCATCTGGCTAGGAGCCTCAGATCATTAATTAATCTCCCCGCGATTAGAGGAGCAGCAGGAGCAATGACTCCTATGATTAGGCCTGGACTAGCCTGAAAACAGCACTTAACCAGAAGCCTCTGATGACCCTAGGGCCGAGCCGCCACTTCCGTCTGCGAGGTCCGCTCAGGTTTGACAAAGACCTTCAGACCTGCAGGCTGTCCTGCCCCTTCCCAGAAAACTGTGCTCTCCCATAAGACTTAGGTTATCTTGGAGAAGGCCATGGATATTTACAGCACAGACGTACATGGCGTGCAAACAGATCTCTACAAAGGTGAGGAACGTTGAAATTAAGAATAAAACAAAGTACCGCACCGCTAACTGTTGCTTCTCTCCTGGCTCTGCGGATTATAATGCAAGAAAGGAAATGACAGCTAGGAAGACAGGGAAGGAAGTGATGAAACTCTCAGAGATGATTTAAAGATAATATGAAGAGGGGCAAAAGGATAGGAAACACTGTCGCTACCATACCAAAGTCACTGCCGCCACCATCACCACTGTGCCGTGACACCACCACCACTGTGCCGTGACCACCGCCACCATCACCACTGTGCCATCACAGCCGCCACCATCACCACTGTGTTATTACTGTTATCCATTATTACGACCACTGCTACTATTACTACTGTTCTAGACAAGATAGCCTCCTGCTCCCTGAATGAGACCAAAGAGCTAACAAAATGTATGAGACAGCAATTTCCAAGCCACTAGACATCATATCATACAGGACTTCAGAACGAGTGATGTGAGCCTTGGACTTAGCTCAGCTCGTTGTCTCAAGGGAGCGTCTAGGCCATGGCGCAGCTGAAGGAGTCGTGTCCAGACTATGATGAATTCTAAGTTGAGACAAAATGAAGAGTCCAGGAAGACTTGAGTCAGAGCGTGTGGGCATGTCCTGGAGAGGAGAGAGCTGCATAGTAGAAGCCTCCAGAAGGTGCCCTTCGAATAGTCAGAAGACCACCCAAAGAAACCAGAGAGTAATAGTTCATGGTGAGCACACAAGATCAGGGACAGTGCGTCTCTAACAGTCAGGACGGAGCTCAGCATGGGTGGGAAGAGCAGTAGCCACGGCCAGTACCCTGAGAAGTGCTGTCTGCGGTACACTGTCATCACTGGTGAGTAGTTAGTTGCCATGGTCATACCCTGAGAAGTGCTGTCTGCGGTACACTGTCGTCACTGGTGAGTAGTTAGTTGCCATGGTCATACCCTGAGAAGTGCTGTCTCTGGTACACTGTCATCACTGGTGAGTAGTTAGTTGCCATGGTCATACCCTGAGAAGTGCTGTCTGCGGTACACTGTCATCACTGGTGAGTAGTTAGTTGCCATGGTCATACCCTGAGAAGTGCTGTCTGCGGTACACTGTCATCACTGGTGAGTAGTTAGTTGCCATGGTCATACCCTGAGAAGTGCTGTCTGCGGTACACTGTCATCACTGGTGAGTAGTTAGTTGCCATGGTCATACCCTGAGAAGTGCTGTCTCTGGTACACTGTCATCACTGGTGAGTAGTTAGTTGCCATGGTCATACCCTGAGAAGTGCTGTCTGCATTACACTGTCATCACTGGTGAGTAGTTAGTTGCCATGGTCATACCCTGAGAAGTGCTGTCTGCGGTACACTGTCATCACTGGTGAGTAGTTAGCCCTAGTCAAACCACCTCCCCAGTCCTGCCTGTCAAGTTAAAAGCAAGATACAAAGGAGTCTGAGTGTTTCATAGTTACTGCACTGCATCCAGAATAAAAGCCAAGAATATTTATGGGAATAAAAAATACACCCACTGCTCAATATTGCTACTTAAATGCATCCAGTCAGAAATTACCAGAAAAATGCACATAATAAGGATAATAATAAGGAAATGCAACTGGTTCTACCTTCCCACAACTGACAGAAAAGACAAAGACATTGACACATTGCCCATATCCCGTGCCCACCAAAATTCTGAGAGACAAGTAAAACTGTATTGAAATTCCAGAGATGAAAACTACAATACCTCGATGCCCGAGTCCCCCCCCCGCAAAACAAAACAACAACAACAATAACAACAAAAAAAACAAATGGAAAGGAGCTGCAGAGATGCCCCAGGAGTTAAGAGCACGCATTCCTCTTCCAGAGGGCCCAATGTCAGCTCCTAGAACGCACACGGGGTGTTTCACGACTGCCTGTGACTCCAGTTTCACGGCCACTGATGCCCCCGCTTGGCCTCTGTGGGCACACGTACACACACATGCATACACACAAAAATATTTTATTGATCTGTATGGGATTAAAAGACTGGATATTGCAAAAACAAAAACAAGCAACCAAAAGAAAAACAGTGAACCCAAAGAGGCAAATAAATATGAACCCAGACACAGAGAAGATTCTAATTAGAAAATACAGCATTGGTGAGCTGAACTTTGAGCTGGGCAAGTCAGGAATAGAACAGTTTGGAAAACAATAGCCTAGCGGTTTTGCATATACTTATTTATGTCTCGCTTATTTGTGTACTTACATATTCATGCATGCGCACATGCATGGTAGTCAAAGGACAACCGCAGGAGTCACCTTTCCCCCCTCTATTATGTGGGTTCCAGGTATGGAACTCAGGGCTTCAGGCTTGGCAGAGAGCACTTTCACTCAATGAGCCATCTCAACAGCCTCTCCAAATTTTGTTAAAATTGTTGACAGGCAGAGGCTCAACCAATCCCAAGCACAAGTAAGAGGAAGAAAATTGTACCACAGTCCATCATCAATCAAATTGTCCAAAGCTAATGATAAAGAGAAAAAGATGTAAAGAAACCAGGAAAATGCCCGTTACATGGAAAGAACAGCAGTAGAGACACCAGCAGACTTCACGTGGGAAACAGCAAAAGTATAAGAGCGTTATGCTTTAAAGAGATGAGAGAAAAACAGACCTGACAACCTAGAATTCGACAGTAGCAAAAAGATCTCCCAAGAATGAAGGGAAAGACAAATTGTATCAGGCAAACAAAAGATGAATAAACTCATATATAGCAATTTCATGCGACAAGAAGTAAAAAGTTTATTAGTGTATTTTTGTCCTGAGGATGTTCCTTTAACAAAAAAGTGTGTTTATTTGTGTGCCTGCTATTCCATATGTGTATCATGTGCCTGCAGCTACTCTGAGAGGCCAGAAGAGGACGTTGAATGCCTTCCAACAACAGTTATAGGTTATAAGCTGCCAGACATGGGTGCCGGGAACTGAACCAAGTCCTCTGCAAGAGCTGCACCTGCTCTTAACTATTGAGCCACCTTTCCAGCTCCATATATATTTAAAACATACACACACTCATGAAAGAGAGAGAGCGTGTGCTTTGCTCATGTTCATCTCCAGGCCCCTCTCTTGTGTTCCCATCTTACCTCTTTCTTCTTCTCAAAGTTTTCTTTGTACTCTCCCTTAAAAATATCTGTGTTCCGTCTATGAGAGAAGACAGGGGGCTTTGGTCTTCTTCATTCTAGCTAATTTACTTAATGTGATGATCTTCGTCCATCAACTTTTCTGCAGATTCCAGTCCCATTGTTCTTTACAGCTAGCACAGCCCCACTGTGTATATGTATCTTCTTTACTTTCCTTTTTGAGGGGGCCAGGCAGCTGAATTCACTATGTAGCCCTGCATGGTACTGAACTTTCGATCCTCCTGCCTCCATCTTCCAGGTTCCTGCCTATTTTCTTTATCCATTCATCTGTTGCTGGACATTTAGGTTGAGTTCATATCTTTTGAAACAATATTTTATTTATTTATTGTGTGTGTGTGTGTGTGTGTGTGTGTGTGTGTGTGTGTATGAGAGCAGTGCTTGTGGAGGCCAGAAGAGGGTGTCACTGACAATTGTAAGCCACCACACATGGGTGCAGGGAACTAAATTCAGGTCCCCTGAAATACCAGGAAATGCTCTTAATGTCTGAGCCATCTCCCCAGCACCAAGCATATACCCAGGAATAGATACCTGAGTGATACGGTGGCTCTATTTTCTGAGGAGTCTCCATACTAATTTCCATAATGGTTGCAAAATTTCCATTCCCATTAGCAGCGCAGGTTCCTTTTCTCCTGACCCCGACCAGCATGTGCCTAGCTTTCTTTGCCTTGTTCTTACTAAGGTAAGATCTCAATACAGTTTGAGTTTGTATTTTCCAGAGAGTGATCATTTTTCCATAGTCACTACTGGTGTTTTGAAAAACTCCTTTATCAGTCATTTGTGGTTTTACTTTTTTTAAAAAAAATAACCTTTAAGTAAGTTGCCCACTTATTGACTGAGCTGTTTGTTCTTTGGGTTTTGTGTTGTCGTTGTTGTTGTTGTTGTTGTTGTTGTTGTTGTCGTTGTTGTGCTAGCTCTTTGTTCAGCTGACAGCTTTTGTCAGTCTTTCCCGTTCTGTGGACTGCCTTCACTGGGCAGTGCTTTCTTTTGCTGTCCTGGAGCTTTCAGATTTCCTGTGGTCCCATTTGCCAATTCTCACTGTTGCTGTCTGGGCCACTGAGGGTTAGGCTCGAAAGGTTCTTGAAGCCGGGCGGTGGTGGCGCAGGCCTTTAATCCCAGCACTAGGGAGGCAGAGGCAGGCGGATCTCTGTGAGTTTGAGACCAGCCTGGTCTACAAGAGCTAGTTCTAGGACAGGCTCCAAAGCTACAGAGAAACCCTGTCTCGAAACAAGCAAAAAAAAAAAGTTCTTGAAGTGTTTCCTCTCGTTTTCCTGCAATCTCAACGTTTCGGGTCATACATTCAGATCTCTGACCCATTTTGAAAGGAGTGTTGAGCAAGGAGAGAGGCTGGCTTCTTCTATGTGAGGATGTCTGGAGGCCAATGTGTCCAGCTTTCACGTAGGCACTAGAGATTTACCTCAGGTCCACAGGCTTGGGCGGCACAAGCTTTACCTTCCGAGCCAACGCTCCAGTTCCCTTGTTTCTTTCT